GCTTTACTCACGATGAAGAAAACAGTCGTATTTGAAGCATCTTCTACAAAAAAGGGTATGAAAAGAGTGCATCGTTTGTTCCCGAGGGACGCTCTTGGCATTTACACCGTCGATATTGGGTGTGCACTCTGGTGGTAATACATTTGGATCCGATCTTTCTGTTAATTCTATGTACTTTTCCTTTAACTCTTCTGGCCTTCCTTTATCAGGAAACATACTGGATATTGCCTGAAATTGATACAAGAAGGTAAACCAATTTGCATATTAAATTAACCGTTTGTACCATTTATACCACTTGTCCTATTCACATTAAAGATATGAATTGATGGAAATGGATTCCTTTCCATTTTAATATCTTCCAGTAATTTATCTGGTTTTTCTGTTTTAATGCTACCATTATCTTTCCTTTCTTTATCATCTTCCTTCTCTTTTCCTTTTTTTGTTTGCTCTCTTTCTTTGTCTTCCTTTTCATAATGTGCTAAAGCATTTACCAGATCCACGAATATGGAATCATCCATGAAACCAGATTCTCTGTCTCCATGAACCTACCAATAATGTTGATAGTTTACCCTATTATCATTGATATATAAAAACACTGTAATTTAAAACATTTTTCTCTCATACTTTTCCATCATAGTTTTTTATTAACTCTTCAATAAATGTACCATCTTGATCTAAAATTTCATCTCCCATGTATGGTATATTATGCAACACTGTTTCATCTTCAACCATGAAGTTTTGTTGTATAGGTGCCCAAGTGTACATGGTTGGTATTGGAGTCACTGCATTAATAATTTTAACAGGACACGTCTGTATATCTCCATCAGAACTAGTAATTTCTGCCTTTTTCATGCAAGAAACATGAGGAGGAATGTCTTGCATGGCTAACCACATTGCTTTTCCATCTGTCCATCGTTTTTCTTCTGTCGTTAATAACTCTAATAACACAATTTGTCATCATATGTATATATTGTACATTAAATAGCTCATACATTATTATATTATATACTTATTTTACAATATATATATATATTCATTAAATTTAGTAACAAATTTGGGAAAAAACGTACTCTTACATATTCCATGCTATATAGTTATATAGAATAAATAAAATAAAATATATAATAAAAGTATATATATATATTTTCTTTTAATTTTTCTGTAAAATATTTTTCACAGCACAAGAACCAATTCACCTTTGCATATCACAAATGAAATTAAGTAAAATATAAATGTAGGACAATTTTACCTGACATAACCTTGCGATTTTGATTCCAAGCTATCTTCACTTCATCTGCCCGTTTGTAGCGTTTCATTTGTCGTAAACGCATATATTCGGACTTTACGCGTTTTCTCCATTCTGCGGAGATTTTAGCTTTCGACATTGCGACGGAAAATTAATTCATCATGAGAAACAATATACAATAAACAACTCGTGTAAACGTCAACCATGCGTTCGAAATACTGATTAACAGGTATGGTATGTAGCTACATTAATTTAGTAACTTTACACTTCAGATGTCAACGTTCTCACAGTGCCATTGTCCTGTTGCCCTCTGGTGGAGCCTTCCAAATAGACTGGTAAACTACAATCAGAGACGAGATATAAGATAGACATAACATGCAATGTAAAATTTTGTCACGCGCTCTAAGGGGTTCAATATCCCTTACCATTTTCATGGCACGCTCTGTCATATCGACTAAGGATGGTATTGCATGGCAGAGCTACAAGTGATAGAAATGAGAATTAAAAATATTGAAATTTTAAATAACTTTAATAAATAATTTCAATATTGTTTAATTGTAATTAAAATGGCCATGACAGGGTAAGAGAGGTTTTTCGATAGGGACTTTGTTTATTGTTTTGATTGGTTATGTGCAACTCTATATTGACGAACAGCAAATTATTATCGAAAATGAGTTGAGAAAAGATGAAAGGTGACCAATCGAGACCCGGCTGAACAGGGCTCATCTCGTGAACAACCCGCAATGTGTTCATCCGTCTTATTTGTCTATGTAGTTTCAGAGTGTTGTCGCAAATGACATTAGATGCAAATAAGTATGCACATAAGTAAGTACTTAGGTATTTACCCGTCTAATATTTAGGTACTTATTACTTAAAAAGCTTTTATCATTATTTGTATGGCGTCTTACAGCGGACAGTACAAATATTTAACATTTGATACGTGTATCAGTCTATTCAATAACTTAATTTTACTAAAATAAATAATTAGTGAGAAATAAGTGTCTCCTAATTGCGGGAATAATAGAATACGCGACTGTTTGCTCCTGAAATATATTTATAGTACGTATTGCATTTCTAAGTAAATAACAGTGCAGATTTTACGTACTTTTAAATAATTTGTCTAAGGTATAAATATGTATTTTTTGTAGGAAAAGAGAAAAAACAAACGGAAAGGAAAGAGAAGAGAAGACTTGGTTTGCCTTTTTTTACAGAATTCTAGATTGCAGTAAAGTTTTATGTAATAAAGATAACAGTGTGTAATGGTGTAACATGGCAGTTGAAGAGCAAGAGGCAAACGATGATTATTATTTGGAACTGTCCGCTGATCCAATCAAGTTTGAGTCAGTCAGCTGTCTTACCAATGTCTTTTTCGATGATTCTAAACAGCAGGTATGTATGTGAAAAATACAGATATCAATTGTAGCAAAGAGGCAGGGATAAAAGCAAAATTGTCGGTATCTAGGTATTTGCTGTTCGATCGGGAGGTGTAGCAAGCGTGTTAGTAAAAGGTCCAAAACAAAACTTAAACTTTCGAATGGAAGACAAAGGACCTGTGATCTCTATTAAGTTTTCACCTGATATGAATATATTAGCGATACAACGTACCAATTCATCGGTTGAATTCGTTAATTATTCTCCTGTCATTGGTTTAGATAACATAGAGTATTCACAACCATGCAAAGGAAAAAATGCCACTATATTAGGTTTTGTTTGGACTCATGGAAATGAAATACTGTTTGTTACTGATTATGGAGTGGAGTTATTTCAAGTAAGAGAGGAAGCATATCAAGTGATTTAACTACTTTTCATTACCTAGGTTCTAGAAAGGAGCTATATTTCTTTTCGAGCTATTCGTTTATGTTTTAGGTAAATCCAGAGAAACGAAATGTCAGAGCTTTAAAGTGCTTGAGTTTAGGAGTGAACTGGTTCGTTTATTGTCCACAAAGCTATTTGGTATTGTTATCATCCGGTACAATGGGGAATCAAATGCAAGCATTACATGTAACTCCTGGAAATCTTCATAAATTGACCAAATTTGAAAGTAAGATATAACAAAATAATTAATGGTTGCAGAGAGTGTGAGACAGGAAAAAAGATAAAAGAACAATGAATTGTTTCAGTGGAACCTGGTGCAACGAAACCGGGAAAATTAGCGGTCTGCGAGAGAGACGTAGCACTGGCAGTTTTGTACGGAATGCCTTGTATTATTTTATTACGTCATCAACCGGGTACGAATCGTTCAATGGGAACTGCATCCGTCTACGTGTACACCGTTCACAAGTAGATACTGTATTTACGTGTACCGTGATATTAGTCAATCTATTCACGTTTACATCGATCTATTCGTTTTGTTTTTATACTTACAGGATGACTACAATCAAGCGGAGTCATATTTTGCAGCTTGATGTAAGCGGTAGATTCGCCATTAACGTTGTAGACAATCTTATTATCGTTCATCATCAAGCTTCAAAGGTGAGTAGATGAGCACGGCAGAAGTTCGAAAAATGAAAATGAAAGTGGAAACAGAAATCCAAGTCCGAATCCGAATCGAAGCGATTGATTTTCAGACTTCTATGATCTTTGACATTATGTTGCCGGGAGTGAGTGATGGAACTGTAATACACCACAGCAGCGTAGCATCGGCAAAACCCATTAAACCGTGCAGTTTAAAAGTACCAGGAGCTACTTTGTTAGAGCATACATATCAACCTTGCCAATTATGTATCCTTTATGGAATACCTGAGCATTTTGAATAATGTAAATATTCGCTATTGATTTTCCTGAATGTTTTATAGATTCACCAAATTGGGTTGTCTTTCAGCCAAATATTGTAATAGATGTAAAGCTAGGTTGCTTATGGTAGGTAGATCCTTTAATATCCAAATTTAGTGTATTTTAGTCGAATCTCATCCTCTGAACAGTTGCGATTACTGACTAGGTATGTAGAACTGAAGCTAGAAGCATTGGTGAAACTGATTACAGACAAAGTGCTACTGGTAGAATTTTTAATGCAACGAACGAACGCGAAACAGGTATTAATACAGGTGTTGCAAAATTTCATGATGCAGTTACCCGTTAGTTTGATGGATATGCCGACGATATTCGACAAATTAAATTCCGTGTATCGGAATTATCTAGAAAGCGAAATTCAAAGTCAGGTAATTATATTGTTGATTCACTCGTGTAACTATAACATATATCTATGATGTTCAGTTCGTTTATGTTTAATGTGCATGCTTACTGTCATCAGATGGGAACTCCTTTACAAAACAATGTGAGAAACATTGGCGCACCGGCTGAAAATTATAAGTACAAACTTCTACTTGATCAAAGCGATATGTACAGTTACATATTATCAAAATTTTCTGAAAATACGATTGAACCAAAAATGATTGTATGGGTTCTCTTGGAATACATCAGGTATTTGCGTTCGTTGGATATTAACCCTTTGCACTCGAGAGGCGACTCACAGTCGCCATTTGGTTTGATACAGTAAAATTACAAAGTTTAATGTTCAATATTAAAGTTCATTTAATGTAATTATCCATGAAATGTTAAAATAGAATAATTCTATTCCTTAATTTCTATATTATTTATATTAATATTAATTATAAAACATATCGTTGATATTTCATAAAAAATTAGGAATACATCTAGCAAAATAATTTTCGAGTGCAAAGGGTTGAATATTTATAACGTTTCTTCCGTTTTAGATCGTTGGCAGAGCACGGAATACCCGTGCAGCATTACTTACATGAGTTGGTGATTACAACATTAGTGCAGCGGAAAGCGTACTATCAACTTCATCAGTTGTTGCAGTATCATGTAGTCGCTGATTCAAAGCCTTTAGCATGTCTTTTGCTTTCATTAGAAAATCTTTATCCAGCTGCCCATCAGCTCGCCTTGGATATGCTGAAAAGATTGGGGAATGCGCATGAGGAAATAATCGAAGTTCTTCTCTCAAAAGGACACATTTTACAAGCGCTACGGTAAATTTCTACGCACCGCATGTTACGCTACCCATGTCAAATCTTTCTTTCCTACATTTCCTTTTTATATTTGTTTTCATTTCAGTTATGTCCGATCCGTTGGTATGGTTGATCAAGTTTCCGCCAGGAAACTTTTGGAAGCGGCAAAAAATACAGAGGATGCCACCTTGTTTTATTCGGTTTTCAAATTTTTCGAACAACGTAATTTAAAGTTGCATAACACAACGGCTTTTGCGAAAGGAGAACACTGTCAGGCTTATATTCAACACTTCAAATGTCTGTTTTATGGAACTGATAACGGATGTAATTCAGACACCAATTCCAATGTCACTACCATTTCTTCTTGAATGGTTTGTTTATTTATTTTTTGTTTTTTCCCGCAATGTTTGTTTATAATATATTTCCTCGTTATTATTACTTTATTTTACGGAAATATCACGAGTTATGACAACAACGACGTCGACTTCGAAATTGACATAGCAAATAAGTTTCCTCAATGAAAACACCGTACACCGAAATTGAAGTTTCCTCGTAAACATCATCTTTGTCACAGTCGTCCTCGTCGGCATTTAAACAGTACAGTATTGACGACAGTAGCGTCAGCAAAAAGAAAAAACAACAAGATTATAATTTATGTACGGAATAGAAGCAAGACCTTATCTGATCGCGTTAAAATACATATTTATTACATGTTTTGAACTATATTTATGATCGTTTATTTACATTCATTGTATTTAACGATATAATTTTGTTCAATATCGATACACCGTTCATTCCTTCAGATATTTACATAACCACAGAGGAACGTTATAATACAAAAGATGGTGCTAGGACAAAATAATGGCGCCACAATAGGTTCACGTATGATTCGAGGACAAAGACACGATGAATTAAGACAGGAAGAGCAAGGAATTTCAACGTTTAGTAATAAAAATATTTGTCTTTTTTATAGCTTGTTTTTATAACGCGCTCGAAATCGTGTAGTAGATGGATCGAATTTATGTATGCACGACGAAGAAGAATATTGTTGCATTCCGAGAGAATGCAGGAGATCGCTTTGTGCTTACAGTTTAGAGGAACAAATGGTCAGAAAATATATATTTGATAAAATTGGTCTGACGGTATTTGTACGAGGATCACGGACTCGCGCGTATACCGCGCATATGATAGAAAGAAATATATCGCACGGTGTACACGCATACCGAACGCTGTTCACAAGTTGATCTCTGGAAAGAAGGCGGGTCTAATTGTTCAGTTTTGATTTGTTTTCGTCTCATTTTCGATGCTAACTCGCTATTCGTCGACGTGGTTGCACCTTATCAAAGTAAATAGCACGTAAGGAAGGTACATAGCGCGAGACCCGTCTTGATCCTGTGCTATCCTAAGGATCATCTCGTGAGCGACGAAGAATACATATATACGTACTGGACGCAGGTGTGCGTGTGTTACACGTTCAAAAGTGATATTGCATATTTGCATTTGGAGCGATTTACAACTGGCTTAAACGACACACACGGGCTTCTAGAAAGGAGGAATAGTTTGATTTCGTTTCGTACGATGTAAATTGGTTTATCCGGTTTTGCACAAGAGTGAACACGAGGAAATGGTGTTTCATCGCGCGTTACCATTTTTCGAGCAACGTTATCGTTCGTTCTTCGTTTGGCCGAAGTAGCGTGGCGCGACAGTGTAGCGGACTCGATGAATTTCAAAGTTAAAGCATACAGAGCAAAGTCCAAACTCTGATTCGTTGGATGCAATGTGCGTTTACGATCAAAAATCCTGCAACGCGATTCGCGTACAGAGATACCGATCAGTTGCAGTTGTTGAAAAAGAGAAAAGCACGGAACACCGGTGCGAATTGGTACGTGTCGCGGGTGGTAAGCTGTGCACGTGCTTACGCGTGTACGTATATATGTACTTGCAAGAAAAGGACGGAGAGGATATTTGTCGGGACTTCGGGACACGCTCGGTCCGAATTGTTTCAGGCTGGATGTTGTTTTCGGTAACTTTTACCGAAACCGTTACATCGTTGGACAATATTGTTGTTTCTTTTCGTCATTTGAATAGGTCGCGTCCATGGTCGGTAGCAGTGATGGTCTTTCGAACGATTTGCAACGATCGACACAGTCTTGCTGTTCGTTTGGAAATCTGCCGACTCGTAACGAAATGAGAGAAACGCTATCCGAATGGATGGATACTCTTTCTCGGGAGCAAACACCATTTCCATCTCCCGTGAAAATCCGATCTACGAGAGAGCGCATGGGAACGGAGAGTCGGTCAACTGGTAGGTAACACGATCGAGTTAGGAAATGTTGCAGTCGTCCGTATGGGTGTCCCTGATCTGTTGTTTCGTTTTCCGCGAGGCGCGTCTGATTAAACTACGACTGCGCGGTTTACTCTTGACCTCCTCGTTGCCAGCGACTACGCTCGAAGATTGGGGTGCGACCGTTTGTTGAGAATTTCCTCCGGATACACCCGTGACTCCCGCTCTGACGTGTGGACTGCCAGACCTGCCGATAAGATTTTTTATTACAGTTTTGATCCTACGTTACTCGCGTGAAATCGGTATCACCATTACGAATCAACATTGTCGATGTTAACACTAGAACTACCGGATGGGTCAAAATGATCCATTCCTGATTTCATTTTTTTCAGTTATTCAACAGATAACAGATGCTTATCTGAAAAACTACTAGAGAAACTGGTTTAGCGATACACAAACGGCATTACAAACCAACTGAAGTCTCAATAATTGCACTGTTCAGGTTTCTACAGAACAATTTCAAAAAGACAATTTAACTGTTCAGTGGTTCTAGTGTTAAGTGTATTGGAAAGTTTAGGCATGTTTGAAAGAAGAACCCTGGAAGGAATGTAGTCGGAGTGGTCGGAATCTAATGTTTTCGGCTCTAGTGTGCGATTGCTTCAAACGGTCACACACACTAATTCCATCGTGTTACGCAATATATACAACGAAACACCCTTCTTGCCCCTATGTTGTCCCGAGGGTCGTCTTTCAAACAACGGACGATATCCGCGAATACCACCGATCGATTCTTCGAGTACCCGACGGATCGTCGTACGTTTATCATTTGTCTTTTATTGAACAGGCCGGTCACTGGCGGAAGTTAGTATTTGCATCGGGTCGATTGTATTAATTCACCTCAAGGAAAATACGAATCGATTCTTTGAAAAAGTTTACTGAGCAAGGAGCAGCGTTTCGGGTGTTCGATTGCCAACAAGTGTATCATTTCGGGGGAACAGTTGGAATAAAAGGGAGAGAAACGAAAAGAAACAGGGGGAAAGAAAGGAAAAGAAAGGGAAAAAGGCAACGAAGCGACTACGTATTTGATATATTCGTACGATAACGTAATTGTACCTGCGCGATCCATAGGCGGAACATCTTCGTCTGAGACCCGATTCTTCCGACTCGCCAGCGTGATTTTTTGGCACGATTTTCGATAGGGTGATGAAACATCGGAAAACATCTTTGATATTGTAATCGTCTTTGGCCGAACATTCCATCACTTTCACGCGAAGTTTCGGCAGCTTACAAAACAGCCACTCGCTGACATCTTCGATAGATACCTCCCTTCGCGTAGTCGCGAGATCCAGCTTGTTTCCTGCGACGACTATCGGCACGTCCTGTCGTGAACGGTGACGATAAATGGATCAGAAGCGGCGCCGGCATCGCGGCAGTACACGGCCACGTTTTTCGCATACGTTTTAATGTATCAGACACTCGTCCCGGTGTCGCTGGAAATTAGATTGTCTCGTTACGGGTATTCGCATCTCCATACCTGAAAGTCGGACCGTTGTTCTCTGACTTCTTCGAAGCATTGCTTGACGCATTCGAAACTGGGCATCGAAGTTGTAGCGTAGACCAATAGGAACGCGTGCGCTGTAGCTATGCTGAGTCTTCTCATAGCCGGAAACTGCAAATCGCCTGAAACCGTCGGGAAATAGGATCGGCTCGATTCGACCGAGTTAGCGACCAACCGATTCCGATATGGTTCGCTTACCTGCCGTGTCCAACAGATCCACCTTCAAGGTGAGCGTACCCAACACGCATTCCCTGGAATAAAGGTCTTCGACGGTAGGTTTGTACCTTTCATTGAACCCTTGACCAAGCAAACGACGTATCATCGAACTTTTCCCGACCCCGGCGCCACCCAATACTACTAATCTGATTCTCTCAAGATCGGCCATGTCGCTGCTACTATTGTTTCTTTTGTTCTTTCTCTCTGTTCTCTCTATACTCTCTGTTTCCTCTATTCGAGACGAGGAACCATAAACGGGACCGCGATTGAGAACCAAGCGAACCGATCAAGAAGGCATTAGCCGAGGGTAGCCGGTTGCTTCGGAGATCGTGGGCCTCGAATCCACGATTAACGGCTCCCCCGTACCGTTACCACTAGCCGGGATTGTGGAATTAGATGAGCAATCTCCTCTACAAACCTAATATCGCCTCCTCTATTTTCCCTTTTTACTCCCGAGATTCTTCGCTACCCTTCCTCCTCGACTGATTGGACTCGATTCCTCGAGGTTAACTTGATTTTCTTGCGACTCGCGGTACTTTCGACGCGGCTTCGATCGCTATCGAGACTTTTATCCAGCGTACCTCGAGTCCAATTCCTGCAACCCACTAAAATTTCGCATCGATTACAGATCTGAAAATTAGCCGGCGTGGTTCGGCGTTCTCGAATGTTTACGTCGTTCCGGTAACTTGTCCAGTATTCAAAACAACCGATTGAATTTCGCGTGAGACGCGAATCGATTTTGGTAAACCGAGGAAGGTGTGTCGACAACGCGGCGCTTCTCAGTACACACCCGTATAAACTAAGTAGACACGACGTTGGGAAGAGTCGGTTTGCGTTGCTTAGCGCTTAGCGTCGATTAAACGAGCTCCTCCGCCAACAGACACCACCACAATGGATTGACAACGAAACGAAACGGAAAGGACTCGCGTTACCAGTTCTCGACGCCCGCTTTGTGCTCGGCTGCCTACCGATAGCATCGGGTTCGATTGTTTCTTTTGCCGTTGGCCGACGATGGAATTACGTTCGATGCTCGTGGTCGTAGTTGCGATCCTGATCCCGTCGTTACGAAGTTAAACGGGAAACGAGAAACGAGAGACGAGAAAAGAAAGGGTTCTGCACGACGGTTCGATGCGTGGCGCAAAACTTGGATCGATCGGAACTTTTTTTTTGTTTAATCGAACTATACGTCGAGGAAGTAGTTGCAATCAACCAAGCTACAGGACTGCCAAGACCTAACCAAGACCCGCCAACTACAATACGTTGCGACAACAAAACGATATCTTCACGAAATTCCCATGAATTAATTTATCGTGTTTGCGTAACCAATTCAACTGGCTATCGTTGCTAAATGTCCTGGTGGTTCGTGGTCCGAGATTCGCGGTTCGTGGTTCGCGGTTAGATAGCCACCAAGTACGCTGTGCATCGCAAGTAGAACCGATATTGTACATAGTTATGTCTATTGGTCGTGTGTTGATGAATGATGCCCTAAATGAAAAACGATTTTCGATTTAAAAGCAATATGCGTACAAACAAGAATACGATTACGATTACAATTGCGATTGCGATTGCGATTGCGATTGCGATTGCGATTACAATTGCGATTGCCACTGCGATTGTGATTACTACGAACGATTGAATTCCGAATGAATTTTCGATAAAAATAAGATATTCATGCTTTCGTTCTACTTTCCCGTCGGAAACATGATTCACAAACAAGTACAATGCATATTCCACGCTTGCGTGCACCACACTCCATATATAAAATACAATTGCATCGACACGAATAGCCATTGTATCCCGTGACAATACCAACTATTCGGTTTTCCTTAATTGTTTTTATATTGTATATTGAACAGATCAGCACTCTTCCAGCATTAATCGCTAATTAGTAATTTGTATTTTCTACGTTCCTTTGTTTTTGTACTTTTAATATATTTTCTACGCACTTCTCATCTGGACATTTATTTCTGTGCTATCTTCACATTTGTTTATGATAATTCTGACGATTAATTATTGCGATAATTATGACGACGACGAGATAACGACAAGAAAATCTGCAACAAAAGAGGTGACTTCGAACCAGTAACGTGTAGAAAGCAAAAAATTAACACTTGTTAAGGTGATAGATTAGAGTGGCTGTTATCCGCTAGTCCTAATTAGTGCATCGGTCGTCGAGGCCACGAATCGTGCTCGTTGGAATGGATCAGCGTCGTTTGTCTCGTATCGGTCGATAACCATCGTCGCCTGTAACAATCGTATGCAACGGTGGAAACGATATCATGGTATACGTTTCCGGAGTACAGTTTCGTACGGTTCAGTGCGATTCAGCACGGTTTGATTCGGTTGTAAAATCATGCTGGTAATTGTGGTCCAATTAAAAATGTTTCGATGAAAATCATTCCATGTTACCCGGTACACGATGCTTTTAATTGCCAGTTATTCGAGAAGGATATTTTCTCACGCGTTTTTTTCCATTTTTTGTCGTGTCGTTTTCGCAATTTCGATATCGTAAACACGTAGCCCCTTATCGCGTTCGATTCGCATCGATTTGGACGAAATTTGATCCGAGAAGAAACGGGAAAGGATATCGGGGCACCTCGATCGCGTATATAGAGATCCAAAAAGGACGAGCCGAATACATCGCGTTTTGAATCACCTGTCGCAAAAACACCAGTGTACTCGTAGTACTAGTAATACTTGCAATACGCTTGTCATATTTACATATGATAAAAGTTGAAAAGCTAGCGCAACAACGGAGACTCGAGGATGACGTAGTCTCCGGTTCTCGCATTTCACGAAAATGGAGCGAGGCGACACCTTCGGTCGAAAACCGATCGTCGCTACGGATATCGAAAGCCGTTCGTTTCGCGTTTATCGGTGGTTCGCGAATGCCAGCTAAATTACCTTTGACGAACGCGACCACTGTGAGTCGTATCGCTGCCACGCTTTTGGGGGGATCGGATTCCGCGACCTTGTTTGCCAATTGTTCTCGAATTGTTCACGCGAAGCCAGTAAGTTTCCAAAGCGGACGCATCGCTTTTCTCAAAATCGAGTCACTCCGATAAAATGAGTATTTCTAGTTATAATTTCTCCGACGCTATCTCGTCTGGTTCATTGAACGGCTCTGATTCTCGCAATTTCTTTCTTCTCCTTTCCGTTCTCTTTCTTTTTCATTCTCTGTTTCGAGCATGTGAACAAAGTTACCTGTGACGCTACTGATTGTCATTCTTCTTGGAATTCCTCAACTAAGACTCTGTTTCTTGAATCGTATAGAGAAAAAGATGAGCAATTTGACATCTTAACGATCGATGGTGTGCCTGTACAACACTGGTAATGAGGAGGAAAGAATGCTAGGTAGGCGCTACGAATGCAAAAGAGCTAGGGTCTCGAGGCATTCGAGCGTTGGGGCGTTGAGCGTTGGAGCGCTGAGGCGTTAGAACGTTGGGACGTTGGGTCGTTGCGTCGTTGGGTCGTTGGGTCGTTGGGGCGTTGAGGCGTTGAGGTGCTGCGAGGCACTGGGCCACGGTGGCTTGTTTACAGCAAGCTCGTGTCTACTCTCGATAATGTTCGACCGGATTTATCTTGCTGTGACGTTTCCAGGTTGCTCGTTCGCTTGACCGATTATCTGTCCGTTGTTAATCCTCGCTTCGTTGCTTCTTTCTCATCACGTCGTGTAATTTACCGATAAAAGAGCCGGCTAACAACTAACGACTAACGGCCAGCGACTAACAAATAACAACTAATAACTAACGACTAACCACTAGAATGAATCTGTTAAAATCTGATAAATTATTTCAATCAGACTGTGGCTAGTACGTTTCTCGCAAATCTTATCGAGATCCATACAAGTGTACTTATACAAAGAGGAATGTGCTTAATCGAACTATACGCGTAGAAATCTACGATCGAAGATCGTTACATTTACCGATTCGTTAGTCGGTGGTCGTTCGTCACGGTGACAGAAGAAACTCGTCTTTTCACAGTAAATATCCATCGCGTTACATATTACTCGATCCATGTTTTGCGCGAGAATTCTCGAATACGATGAACTCGAAAGGAGGCTTCGTACAGCGTAGGAATCGTGCACTTTTACGACAACCTTTAGGTCTAACGTCCTTCGCGACCGAAGGGATCGTTACTTTGGTCAACTCGTGTTTCCCTCCCACAATCGTTTCGCCTTAGCTTGTAACGCGTACCACCTTATGCAAGCCTACGGATTTTTTTAATAGACTTTTTCAACTGGGCTTTTCGACAGAGTCGATTTAATTACGATAATTACAATTGAATCATTTTTGTTTGTTTGTTTGTTTCTTTCTTTCTTTTTCTTCCTTGCGAATCGATTTAATTGCAGAATTTTATGGACGATAAGAAACGACGGTATCACAACGCAAGGCCTGTCTCGATTTTCACATGGGCAATCGTGTCTTCGCGTGTAGTCGTGTGCAGTCCGTTCGTCGATTTTTATCACGACTCCGTGTTACGTTTCGCTAGACGTGGAATGGAAGGATTTCGCTTCTGAGGAAGAGAGCAACTCCATTTCCAGGGTGGTGAGCGCGTTTCGTTCTCGTTTTATCGAAAGAACGGCCGGCAAACGAAGGTACGAGCTTCGCAGGAACATGGAAGGAAAAACCGAAGAAGGGAAAAGGTCGTGGTTCGAACGTACTAGTTTCTGTATAGGTTGAGGGGCAAACGATCGAACCAGATCGGGTATTCGTGAACGCGAGGCCATATCGGATGGCCGATCTACCGTGAAACGATCAAAGACGAAACACGTGGCCGTTGTTGGATCTATTCCTATGTAGAGTGAACCAATTTTTCTCTTCTCTTCTCTTCTCTTCTCATCTCCTCTCTTCTGTTCTCTTCTGTTTTCACCTGGACACCTCGCCGCACTTCATCATTACTTGTAGCATCCTTTTTTGCACCATTCTCTTTCTTTTTTCCTACCCTCTTACTCATCATCAGTTTTTAAGTTTAAACGATAAAAAGATTTCTCATATTACAATTCGATGGAAGGGACAGGAATCCGATGGCCAAGAAATGTTGCGTTCTCTTGGATGTCAACATTTATAACGATAAACGGTAAATCTTTACCTTCTAGTAGAATCGTCTCGTGCTACTCCGACTGTCGCAACGAACGTTGAGCAACATTCTTTCGAATCATAAGTAAAGAGAGTATAGATGTCGTTTCGTTTGGAAAAACATTTTTACCAACTTTTCCCCTTCGAACGAACAAACGAACGAACGAACATAATTTTTTCTCATAAGAAAAAAAAGCAATGAGCTTTGAAGGAGTAGCTGATTCGAGCGACCTTCGTTTCGTTGTCGTTCACTTTTACGCGAGTCTTTAACGAAGGAGGCGCGCAAGGACATTGTAGAAGAGTGGCAAAATGCACCGCGTATCCGTACGTTAATTTTCAAGTGTCACGAGTATACTTTCGAGAAAGAACGCTTTTCCATCGTGACATATAAATCGGGAATAGCAAGGGTGAAATGCACAAATATTTGGATAGTCGAAAAGATAAGCGAGTGCATTTGTCAAACCAATTTTTGACGATATCTTACAAAAACGCGGAATTTCGCGGCGAAAGCAACATTTCTAAGAAACACTTGAAATTAAAAGACGGGGGAAAAACGAAACGTGAATAATTCCCAAGATATCGATATTCCCGATAAACTGTCAGAATGAAAGCTGATCGATTCCTGGATCATTCGTAACATGTACACCCACGACGGAATCGCGATTGCGCGCCACCACGATGCTTTTATCCACGATTCGTAATCGCACTCGTTCAAAATACTCTTTGTATTCTAAACAAGTTCGAATCGACCGTTTGCGATCACCAATTTGATTTTGAAAAACGAACTTTATCCTTTTTGGAGATATGTCTGATAATGGGAGTCGAAAATCGAAAGAACGGAACGTACGAAATGTCGAACGATTAACCGGGTATATCCGTAAATGGTAAATAACCTGATGCGGGTATCTATTCGATTCGATCGCATCTAGTCGCGTTGCATTGCACGTCACATCGCGCCGGAACAGAAAATAGTAATTGCTGCCGAACGATAGCGTTGTCGGATCGAGAACGAATTTGATTTTGAGAATCGATCTCAGAAGCGGCTTCAGAACCGGCTTTTCAACAAATATACTTGATCGAAACGGCACTCACCGAAATCAGTGACCAACAAACGTTAGTCTTTACGCTGCAAAAGTCTGAACGAGAGTTTGGACAACGTGTAACGAGGACGCGCGAACGAAACGCGAACAGATTACACTCCGATCGCTGCCTAGACGCCACTGAATCTCCTTCGCGATTCCTGCTGGCCAAGTAAACGTTACCGGAGCGCTTCAACCACCCCAATCACCTCATCCACCCGAATCACCCTAACCAGCCGACCGACCGACAGTCGCGTACGACGAACGTCAACCCAGCCTCAACGAGCGTGCGCAACATTATTTATTTTCTGGTAACACGGTCGATCGTGGCTGGAAAAGGAACGTTAACTTTCTAGTTTGCCAAGATACGTTCTCTCGCTATCGTTCTTTTTTTTGTTGCGCCTTTTCGAAAGTTTCGTTCTTACGATTACCAGCATGATCTTCTTTTCACGAGTTACCGAGAAAAGCCGTCGCATATCACCGGGTTTCGCCGCGTTTCCTCGTGTTTGGCATTTCCACCATTACAGGACGCTTAAACGCGTTTTCTCGTTCATGTAACGGCCATCTTGAAAATTATCCGTATATTTATTTGTACGATACGTTTCTCATATACGAATATCAAACGAATAACTTCGTTTGAGATTTGCGCGCACGATCATTGTCTTAGAACTATTAGCTTAGGGACGAATGGGGTAAAAGTATTCATCAAGGGAATAAGCCTGAAAAGCATCCGGTCCAAGTAGAACGTAAAGACGCGCGATTATCGATAAGGATGAAAAAAACACGCGTAAGCGTTTTCATGTATCTTTCTTCTACATGTTCTGTTTTTATCGACATTTATCGATACTTATCGATGGACCGCTCAAAAGACGAGATTACGAATATTGCGAATGTCTTGCATCGTTTATTATATAAATATATATCACCATTATTGCGGAAACATCGCTTCCGCGTAACAACGAGAAAGAAAGTGTAACGAATCGAACAGAAAAATCGCATGACGAGAAGACGATAAAACGTCCGAAATAAATCTTAATCTTAATCAATACATTCTAGTGACGTTTGACTAATTTCCTGCAGTTTTCTACAGTTTTCTACAGTTTTCTACAGTTAACGCGGATCCGATAAATCTATCGAAATAAACATAGACTTGTTGAAAAAATATTTCTTCTTCTTGTCGTGGTCGTTACCGCTATCGTCGTCGATGCCATTGCGATCGTTACAAATGTTTTTCGTTGTTTTCCTAACTATTAAAAATATACACGTAGTATATTTATAGATAAATCTGTTTTTATACAATTTCTGTGATATAGAATCATTATAACATCAAGTTTAACCAGTTCGCATGTCGAATAAGCGGAACGACCGTAAACGGAATACGGTTTGAATTATTCGCGCGAAAACAAGAGGCTGCTCTTTTCTATTTCACCACTTATTGTTCGTCGCTTGCTTAGCGACTACCGATCAGGTAAGAAATAACTTGGCATAATTTGGTCGCTCGTATTTTGTCCTCGACATTTTGTATATTTGATTAAAACTCACCTTCGTCGAAGCGTTCTCGTAACACAATTACACGGAGAGGATAAAAAATTCGAGTAAAATTCAGCGTATTGCCTAGAAGATGAGATGCTTCTCGCTCGTTCGAAGCGTTTCAACGCGAAGCATTTCGACGTATTTCGCAGCGACATATAAAAGAAACAGATACGAATTAACAACAGCATCGCTCGAAATACGCTTTGTCTCCGTGGATTGATTCGTACGTAACATCCGTAATAATATTTACACCTTTCCTTAATTTCTTCCATTTTTCTTTTAGTTTATGGCAAGTACGGAATGTTCGTTGCGCGAACCTCCCTGATCCAACTGGAAATCCGTCAACAATTCTTCCCGCGTTTGAAACAAAGTCAAAAGGGAAGTGCTAACGAATCGCACGAAGTATCCATCTTTGTTCGAGCAGAAAAAGGAAACGAACAACGAAAAAACGAAAAATGAATCGCAATGCGTGTACGTACTTGGCATTAAATATAACTGGAT